AGATTGGGATGCTGCAAAAGATCGGAATATTCCTGTGGATGTGATCTCCATAGATCTAAGTAAGGCCTTCGATAAGATCTCCCACTCTGGTCTTAAATTCAAACTGGAACGTTTTGGAATCCATTATACAGTCGTAGATTGGATAAGTAACTTTCTCCATGACAGGAGACAAAGGGTAAGGGTTAATGGGGCTCTCTTCTCGTGGGTACCTGTAAAATGTGAAGTTCCCCAAGGTACGATCCTAGGTCCTCTTCTCTTTTTACTTTATGTGAATGAATTGCCAACTATAGCAAAATCATCCATTCTAATCTTCGCTGATGACATAAAAATTTGGAGACCCATACACAGTATGTCAGATAGGATGGTATGATGATGATGATCTTAGCTCACTGGTGACATGATCGGACAGGTGGCCACTAGAAGTAAATCCTAATAAGAGTGTAGTGATGCAAATAAATAGCTATGTTGAATCGTGTCACTATACGATATGTGGATTCGTGCTACCCAAAGTAAGGAACTTTAAAGATTTAGAAGTCATATTAAGCAGTGATCTCGAAACCAATAGTCACTGTAAGGCTGCTGTTGGGAAAGGCTATAGGGTATTATGGTCTATTCGTAGGTGTTTCCAGTATTCAGATTATGAAATGCTTAGACTATTATACCCAATTTATGTGCGACCACATTTAGAATATGGGATTCAAGCAGCGAGTCCTTGTTTAAAGTATGAAGCAGAGAGTCCAACGACGAGGTACTAAGATGGTACAAGGTCTACCTGACCTATCTTATGAAGACAGACTGAGACACCTTAACTTATTTCCGTTATCTTACCGCAGAGTACGGGCTGATCTAATATTGGCTTATCGTATACTGAACGACGACCTTGGCATTAACATGTCTTATCTCTTACTTCCGTCTAGGACCGATCATTTGAGAGGACATTTGAAGAAAGTTCAAAAACCGAGATCAAATCCTTTACATCTGGAGTTTCGTTTCTCGCACCGAGTAGTGAATTACTGGAATTCTCTACCAGAACACGTAACATCAGCACGTTCTGTTAATATATCTGACCTCCACAGTATTACAAACCGCAAGGATCAATCTAGGTCGATAGACCTCCTATCCTTATTACTGAAGACTGAGCTTTCACCTTTCTTATCGAGCAGTTGATGTCTGGGACACCTTACTCGAACAAGCAGCATCTGCCAAATCAGAGAATATTTCCAAGGAGAGGCTGGCATTTCATTGGAAAACAAGCAGTAAGGATTAAAACAGATCCTCTAACTACTCAAGTGTGAAGACTAAAAAAGGATGTGCAAAGAATGGACTTCAGTAAGAAGAAAAAGAAATGGGAAGAAAAAGGCTGTGGGTAAAACGCAGCTGGTCAGCAAGGCATTGGAAGGGATGTTATCAGAAGAAAAATCCTCACTGCGTGACAAGATAGATCTCTCTGAGCGATCAGTCATTTTTGATAAGATAAGAGAATCTTCAGATACAGAACCAAAGGCAAGACTTGAACATGATCTCAATGATATTAAGACATCATTAAGTAAACTACTCCCAGATACAGTTTCAGGCGTTAGTATTTGTAAGCTTTATAGAATATGAAAACAGGTGGATTCCGAAAGTCCTCAGAAAAACCGCCTCCTAAAGGTTACATTCAACACGGTGGAAAAAAGGAACCTGATTCTAAGTAATTCACGTAAACTGATTGGATCCGGAATATATGTCCGTGAAGATCTCAGCCTAGCTGATCGTATTAAAAGTAGAGCTGCAGAAGCGGAAATAAACGGGCGTCGCCGATACGGTGAAAGAAACCTCGTTCTTAAGGGTTTTCAGATTGTAAAAGTTCGGGGCAAAACGATCCCCAAGCCACTCTGGGTGGCAAGGGAAGGCTCTCCACAGACTTAAAAGTGTGCTACACAAATGCTCGCAGCCTACTAAATAAAATGGCGGAGCTGAAGTTAGTGGTGGATAAAGAAAAACCGGACGTTATTGCTGTCTCGGAAACTTGGTTAACGTCAGAAGTATTAGATAGTGAAATCCAGTTGATTGGTTTCATAACCAGTAGGGCTGATAGATTAAACCGAAGGGGAGGCGGGGTTATTCTGTACACGAAAAGTACCCTAACCATAAGATTAGCTGAGAGAGTAGCACATGTGAACTGGTGAGATGTTAGTTGAAATGCCGACGGCAAGATATTGAAGTAGTTGTAGTTTATCGCAGTCCAGAATGTGTAGCAGATGATTTTCTCCTAAGTAAACTTAAGTCCTGGTGTAACAACGGTAAATGCACCATATATAGACTGGGTTAACTTAGAAGTAGGGTCATCCATATCGTTGTTCGACTGCAAACTGTTAGAAATCTCGATTGGACTAGCATTATTCCAACACATTAGAGATCCCACAAGATACAACTTAAGAAACTCTTCTTCTCTTTTAGATTTAGTCTTCACATACGGTGATGACGTTGGTCAAATGGCTTTTCTCCCACCACTTGGGAGAAGTGACCATGCGGTCATCTTATGCAAATTCATGGCTGAGATTGCTTGTCAAACAGTTGCGCCGGCCCGTCCTAACACACGGAAGGCAGATATGCAGGCAATTAACTCCGCAGCATCGGCTGAGAACTGGGAAATGGACTCAAAGTCATCGGTACAAGAGGCATGGACTCTATTCAGGAAGTAATACAATCGAGTAACTCAACCATACATACCCTGGACTGTCCCAAAGAAAAAGAAGCACGGACATCCCTGGATAGGGCGGGATATTTGACGCTTACTAAGACAGAAGAAGAAATGCTAGGATGTTGCCATCCGCCTTGGGACAGCAGGTACGATGGAACGCTACAGATCGATAAGAAACGAGTGTATAACAAAAATTCGGGAAGCTCAAAGAAAATATGAAATGCAGCTCGCACAATCTGCACTCAAGCAGCCCAAGAGGATATTCTCGTACATAAACTACAGAACAAGGATGCATCATTGGATTCCCAACCTAATTAAAGTAGGAAGTGAATCTGAAATGATAGAGGAAGATCAGGAAAAAGCAGAGGTTATGGCTGACTATTTTGGGGCAGTTTTCACTCAGGAACCTCCTCTAGAGAATGAACCAGACCCAAATACAGAGTCAACAAACCAGCTGCTCACCGTGGACTTCGATCAAAACGATGTGCTTAAGGCTCCTAGCACCCTAAACATGGAGAATTCAACAGGACCAGATGAACTACACCCTAAAATCTTGAGACATATTGCCGAATATATCGCAGCCCCACTGACTGTGATATTCAAAATGTCACTTGACCAAGGTGTGTTACCTATGGACTGGAAGGACGCAATCGTCACTCCCATACATAAAACAGGTCCACGACAAGTTCCATCGAATTACAGACCCGTAAGCCTCACCAGCAGTGTAACCAAAATATTGGAAAGAATAATCAAACTGACCATAAATGCATTTATGGAAACCAATAACTTGCTGAACATGGCACAACATGGTTTTAGAAAGGGTCTATCCTGTACAACGAACCTCCTTATAGCTAGGGAGCTCTGGATTAATGCGCTAGACAACGAAAACTCAGTGGATGTTGTCTGCATAGACTTCAGTAAGGCTTTTGACAAGGTGCCAACTAATAGACTGCTATTGAAGTTGGCAAACCTTGGTATTGCTGGACCTCTTTTAAAATGGATTAAGGATTTCCTAGTAGGTCGTAGGCAAAAAGTAAGAATAAATTCCAAGTGTTCCATCTGGAGACCAGTACTTAGTGGAGTACCCCAGGGTTCCGTCCTAGGTCCTCTACTTTTTATAATGTACGTTAATGATCTTACAAGTATAGTACAGTCTCCAATGTTATTATACGCTGACGATGTAAAAATTTGGCGAGTTATAACTGGAGACAAAGACGCATTTACTCTTCAGGCGGACTTAAATAATATGATAAACTGGTCTAAAGAGTGGCTAATGCCTATCAACTCGGAAAAGTGTGTCTACATACACTTGGGGGATTCAAAGGTTGAAACATACAACATAGGGGATGTGTCATTACCCGTAGTCCGGTCTCATAAGGACCTAGAGGTGACAGTGAGCAATGATCTTGAGACGGCGGCCCATTGCCGGGAGGTCGCAGTTAAGGGGTTTCGAACCCTCTGGGCTTTAAAAAGGACATTCACTAAGCTTGATACTACCGTGTTCACCACATTATACACATCCTTAGTGAGAACTAAGTTAGAGAACTGCGTTCAGGCTGCAAGCCCCTGATTAAAAGGTGACTCAGACATACTAGAAAAAGTACAGAGGGCAGCTACGCGTGCAATTCCGGAACTCCGGGGTTTATCATACAAAGAGCGGCTTGAAAAACTGAACCTCTTTACTCTGTCCTATCGCAGATTAAGGGGAGATCTAATTCTGATGTACAGAATGCTGAGAAACGATTTCGGACCTAACGTATTCTCTCTTTCTTCCCACTAGATCGGGACATGGCAGGCGAGTAGAAAAGCCAAGAACGAACAAAATACCCGTGGCATACAGGTTTTCACACCGAGTAACCTGCTACCTGAAGCAGTGGTGTCCGCACCTTCAATTGACTCTTTCAGGAGAAGACTGGACATTCACAGAAGCACGCTAGAAAAGGAATAACATAGGCCGTAGGCCTTCTGTACTTACTACACAAATCTGGATCTGAATCTGAAATTGATTATTGAGTGGCCCAAACCTTGGCAAATATTTGAATATGAAGGTTCGCTTACTCTCACGCAACCCTTCTGATTTTCGCAGGGAAACTGCCGATGATATATTTAAAAGTACGAAAGTCTAACATCAGCAAATGAAATCATAGTTCCTAGAAACCACAGCGCGGCAGAGCATCCATTTTCGTGTGAAAGAGAATATGTCAGAGCAATTAACGCTGCTAAGCTCGGAAAGATGATGGGCAAACCCTTTATAGGAGCACTTGAAGGATCAACTGAAAGGGTCACAAGTATTTCTCTAAATACAGAGACTTTGGGCATGGCAACTTTTGGAACAGCTGATGGGAAGGTTCGTACCTCACCATTTTGTTGCAACTAGTACATTTAGGTCCAATTCTGGAACGTATCAAAAAGGAATAAAGTTGTTGAGGTTATTGCACATGAAAGCGAAGTTCGAGGAATCTGCCACTCCAACAGGTCTCGGCTGATTTACACTGTAAGTTATTAATTTGATTATCTAAAAGTTAATCAATCTCCCTATTTTGGGGAAAATTTTGTCCGTTTTTGGGAAAGCCACTGTAAAAATGTAGATAAAGTAGCACAACACCTCCAAAGTTTGCCCAAATCTGTGGAAATTCATCAAAGTAGGGTGATTGGGTACTTATGAGGTAAAATATTTTGTACGCCTATCATCTAGAATATCTGTGTCAAAGTTAACATTCAATGGTATGTTCATTTAAGTTGAATTATGACATTTCTCAAATGTCGAAACTACACTCGCTTCTCAACAGCTCCATAGACATCTATTAAGTTTCCTAGTTCATCTCAAAAATACTAGAACATGTTATAAAATCTTTTTTTGAAAAATCCAAAAAGCATATTTTGTATACTCAAGTTTTGTGATATTGAAAAGTAAAAGCCATCAGCTCGAAATAACTCATTAAAAATCTCATATCGCTTACCTCTAATCATAACATCAATTCGTGTTCTGTGGAAAGCAGTATCTTAAAAATGCTCTGAATTATTTATTTCCGTGGGATCCCACACATTGGAGTGTTGAAAATAAGATTTATTAGCGAGCGGCCATAATTAAGTTCATTTTCCTTCTTTTTAAACATGAAACTTTCCATTCCTACCTCCATTACTTCGCCATCATATGCCTTAGTAATTCAATGGGAGATTTCCAAAGTTTCTTAACTTCGTCTCCAATACTTAGCAAGAATATTCGTTACTATCACACAATACTTTAGGGGTGTATATCGATAACCCAGGGAAATCTTTGTTGTTAAAGGTAAATACAATGAGTATCAGAAATTCCAGATCTTCATCGACTTATCCTGATGTGACATTTTGTACTTGTAGTGTATAATATTATAGACACTAAATCATCAGTATTATCACTAGCTTACAGTGTTATGGCTCAACCGGCCTGTCAGTGATAACTTGAAAATTGTCACATATGCATCAATCCATATTACCATGCCAGTTCAGCACTGAGATGAAATCGGGTAAAGTTCAAAGTAGCATCAATGACGGTGATAAAACTAGACATAGAGAATGTGATTCTAAAGGGTGAAAATTATTCATAGAACACTGGATGCACCTGTTTCATTACGAAAAATTCAGAACCATCTTATTCAACATCTCAAACCAGTAGTTTCAACTATCATATGAACTACGACTAAGTAGTCTATACCTCCCATCACTTCTCACTCTAATAGTCAGTGACTGCATTGACTGATAATGTCGTTTACTGGCTGCCCCATAGTTCTTTTCCAACCAACATTACTCGGCAAGGTAGGCAATACTTGGTCATACTTAATACCTATCAGTCGATAACGATCCGCAATCTTATCTGCCGATTTGGTATATTTGTTTAGTACCCTGCGTCTAACCCCGGGATTGATTATTCAGTCGTCTAAACACATACAGGCAATGCCTCTAAAGCATTTGTGACCGAATACTAATAACCTACAATACCGCCTACTCTAAAGGCTACGTTTCGCCTATACAAAGTAGAATGAGCCAAGTCGCTAATCAGCGTACGCGCCATTTAGTTGACATATTCATTCTTGAATTGATCTTTTTAAACTGAAAACAGTATCCTGGCACTTTATTTCAAATAAGTAATAACCTCAGACATTTTTGCCACTTTCTCACTGCCTAATCGCTTTTGTGCCGTTTCCCGTGGAAAACGAACAATTCAAATTAATCCAGTTCTATTTAGTTTATAAAGTCGTTAGATTTCATTACTTCAGCGTTACGAAGTCACCTTGTTTCACTATCGGTGATTTCACTCAGCTAGTTATTTAAATATATTGTATTTTAGCTCAGATATGTATGAACTGAGAAGTAAAAATTATTAAGGTTATTTCCGACTGATATATTTGTATACTCCAACCAAATAGTAATTAATTTCCTGTCTCAAATTGTATCCTCCAACAGGGTTTCACATCAATAAGAGCGATTTAATATGATAAAATAACCCCATTAGTACATTAACTAAATATTATAAATCGTGAGCAAGCATCAGTTCGGCGGTCTATTCATGTAGTACATATATTAATTCTACTTACACATTTTAACTTTTAGTGCAGTTTAATGTGTCCAAATATGCAGATTAGAGTTACGTTATTTTCCTCGTATATATTTTAGTATCGATTTGCTTGCACAAATTTCTACAACCAGTTTAATACATGCTTGTGCTCCTTCTTCACGTCCTGTTTCTGCGTCCCTTCGCCAAACTCAATTTTCATTCCTTTTAGGTTCTGTTCCTCATTAAGAACAATGTGTTTCCATATGTTTGGATGACCGTCACCATAAGTTTGTTTAAGACTCTATAATACCCCCCACCTCACTGTTTGTTTCAGTAAGATCTTTCATAACAGAACTGGAGATTCCCCATGGTACATTTTTGAAAATTGAGGGTTTGTTGATTACTGTGGACTCCACTGTATCCATTGACGCAGACGGCACAAAGAACATTGTTGTTCTGGACTTAGATATACTTGTCGAAATACTAATAAAGTTGAATATTCCTAACCAGTCATGATAGTTTGGAAATATAAAGCTAAGCTCGATTCATTCATCTTGAAGGCGCGCACATGCGAATTAGTACTATAGTTGTCCATTAAAATATAGATAAATGGGGTAACTATGCTGAATTTCACAGTATGAATCATGTAAACGCGGGTAAAAACGATTGCGAGATATTAAATATTCCATACATTTACCAATGAGGACAGTACTGCAATAATTCCAAATTCCAAGAAATAGAAAATGTTGAAGTTCGTTTCTCACTTGGTGCACTGTTATGCAAAAAGAAATATCCGTCTCTTATGATTGTCTTATATTCAGACAGAAGAGTCAGTGCTTCTAGTAAACTTGGACTTGGTAAAGGCCCCTGATGGTCATGTCGTATGTTCCGAATTGTTTATTTCATCCGGATCGCAGCCGGAAGTTGAACTGACATTACAATAACAAACAGGAAGATACCGTAGTTACAATATCGATCCTGTTGTTAAAGCTGCTCAGTATTTTACTTTACGGCTATTTTTCCCATCTACCATAGCTTTATCTGTATCCACCGGCTAATTTTTAATAATTTCGTACAGTGTACAACAGCATAACCTACACTTCACCGTATTATATTGCCGAATTTCGTCCCAACCACTTCTTAATACAATTTCTATAAGGCATATAAACATACAGCCTGGTATGTAGCCCGTCACATTTTTATATACTTATATCATTTTGAAATCCAACGAAGTAATTTCACAATAAATATATACTAGCTTATTTTAACAACCCAACCATAGTTGTTATGTTGACCATCGATTGGACCTACCTATCATCATAACCCAGTCGAGCTATGATGAACAAAACATTTCTTTTCTGAATTCTTGTCATGTTAAGTAGGCCAATAATTGCTTGTAAGTTATTTCGCAATCACAGAGCTAAACAACTTTATTAACTCTGTTCATTATCTTTAGAATTGTCGGACCCATTGATTATTTTGTACATCACTATCAAAACAAAGTATATGTGTATGCAAATATATTTCTACGTAAAGGCTATAGAGATAAATCTCCCTATATCTGACTCAAATAATATCCCGTTTACTGAGTAGTTACGCAGGTCAATACTCTTGAAGTTACTCCAGATTATTCAAAAGCCAGAACACCAGTTGTAGAAATAGTGCAGTGTTAATAATTGATAAAATCCGCAAGCGCGCAGGAAGCAAGCACACAGGGAAACCACTGTGTGTGTATGTTCTTGTGAGTGTTAAAAATCCATATATATTTATGAGTGTTAGTCGATTGTGGGTAAACTATTTATTGTCTGTGCTTACAACCAATCGGAGAATAGATAAAGATTGATGTACAGGCTTGCGTTCAATCAGGTTCACACAATTTTACATAGTGGGTTAATTGTCTAAAGTACAGTTCAATGGGCTTACTAAGAGCCTTTACCAATAGTGAAAAATTGGTGTTGGTACTTTAAGCTAAATATAACCTATTTACATTGCTTTTCACCTCACAAAAATAAGTAACAAGTACTATCCAAATCGATGCTTCAGAAATCACGTTAGTTGATTTACTAATTTCGGTCTACGGACGAAATTCTAAATCTGTAGACTAATATCAACCTAGTTACTAAAAGCATCTTCGATCTAGGCGGTACGAATTATTGTTAGATGGTTATCTAGAGATAACTAAAAGTGAGTCAGCTTGTTTTTCTCTTTCACTTTGTTCCCCATTTCTTTATATGTATGTAAAACTGTGTTGTCTTTCAGAGATTGTTTTTGTTATATCCTGGTAAGAATAGTGAATGGCAACTTTTGGGATCCATTTATGGACCAATACTATGTCTATACTTTTACCGTATAATTGTTGAGTAACTAAACTATTCATATTCGTGTTCCTCTTATCATAAGCTTTATTTTGACCTATGAATTATTATTATTATTATTATTATATTTACCATTATTGAGTTATGCTCTGTCTATCAATTACTATCTCCCTCATTCATATCCACATTTAGCTAAATCTTGTACAAATGTCGTTTCCCATTTTATGGTACGATGTGGTGTGTCTGGTTGGTATATAAACTGAGTATATTTAAAATAAACGATTCATATCGCAGAGGCTGATATTGGTGTTATAGACTTAACAGACTCGGCTAGGCAGGAAGCAGGAACGTTAGTTATTTTAGACTGCTCGTACAGGTTTCATGCGTCATTGATCCGATCGCTGAGTTACTGTTCTCTAATTGGCGGTATCATAACTTACATTAGCAGGGCACACAGGTCACAAGTTATGACAATTGGCGGCGGGGTGAAGAACAAAGAACCAAGGGCACGAAAATACAAGTGATAACAGTTTTTTTGCATAGATCACTGACTCGGCTAATTTTTTTTGTAAAGGAGTTTGCCAGTTCATCCTCCTGCTAGTGATGTATTGTTGATGCAGTAAAATCGTACATGTTTCTGTTGTATTATTTGCTAGTTGATGGAATTTCTAACTGAAATAGGTCTACTGATATAACACTTTGCAGTAGCTTTTCAGTAGTAAATGTTTTAGTTAAATATATATTCATTAAACATAGGCAAATCAGAATCTATGATAATCAACCGCCTAACCTTTGTAGTCTTTACTTCACTTTTTATACGGTATATATATATACGGTATAAGTGCTACTTAAGTTTAGTATAAGTTGTATCGTCGATTATTATGTTAAGCCCGTATATCTTATTCTCGCTTTCGGACAGCCCAATCTATTCATTCTACCTGAGTCACATTTTGACCTTGTTTACTATCTGCTTATCAATCTTGACTGTTTTTATATGAGCGCATATGTGTGTGCTCTACTTATCCCATTACTCATCACATGTCTGTAACTTATTTTTATGTGCCTATAAATGTTGATTAACGCTTGATTAAAGGGAAGTTGGCTTACCCGCCATCTCCACTGCGCGTCGTTTCGCTTCTCTCTATTCTATTCGCTACATATACAAAATATATGTATTCAAAAGTCCATTCTCGTTATTTGACTTATTTAATTCCGCTATTGACGAACGCTATTTGAGTCGATGATTATATACGAGGATAGGCGATAACAAACATTCATACGATCTAATTGGAGTCAGATCTCGGACCACTAAAGTGGAGAGCCCTTTCAACGACATCGTCCGATCTAAATGACGATAAAATAAAGGGACCCACAAAGTAAACATATAGATAACGTTAAATTATGTGAAAGGGTTAATACTTAAAAGTGAAGCTAGTCAAATCCGATTAGAATGTAATGATTACTATTTTTATAGCTCTTGATCATTAACATGCTAATTAAGTTATTCACAATATTCGGTTTTGCTATTCACTTACACATATATCTATCCCAAATCAATTTCTTTATCAACGATTGTCTATATTAAACGTGTAGGTATATGCTCACCAAGCATTATAGAATTTTCGTACAGAAAACTAAATTCATCTCATATCTTATGAAACAATCTGATTAATTATTAGTCCATTTTTTTTATTCTTATTATAGTGTAGTCTAGATGGTCAACTCAAACAATGGCGGATGAATTATGATGATATTGTATCATGTTGGAAACAACCACTGAGTAGTGTTTTGATGAAATGGACTCCTCATTGTATGGATCATCATCCTTCATCAAATGAGTTTCTTATTGGTGGTCCAGAGTCATGTCTGCTATACTCTTCAGTTAGGCTTGATGTACCGTTGCGTGAATGGAGTTGGGGTCAAGAGCCGGTTCATAATGCCAAGTTCAATCCAGTCGAACATAATATTGCATGTGCTTTAACCAAAGATAATTCATTAATGCTAATCGACTGTAGACAGGATCAACCTGTTCGCAAGGTGATTAAATATCTATATAAGTTTTTTATTCTAGTCGATTATAAAATCTTGCATAGTTAATCTTGTAGATTAGGCTCCTCCATCAGAATCATGAAACAACTTAATAGGTGACTACAACACTAAATTATTGTTGTGACATACAATATCCGAGAGTTGATACTGATATCCAACCTTTCCGATCAGCCACTCAAGTGAAAAGACTAAGAGTTGGGAACCTTTATTAACTAAACCGAATCGGTACGTATATGTACCCACTCATATATATATCAAGCTACTAATGCTGTTTGAGATTGCGAACGTCCGGCACTTTAACCGGGTTGGTGGATATGGAGGGTCCACCTAGGGGATTTGGAAAACCCTGATTCCAAACCAATGGTGCACATGGGCTCCAGAATCTTGAGGGAACAAATGGCGTATGAAATAATTCTTGGTCCACGGCTACCACGGGACTGCATCTCCTTACGTTACTCCACTTCATGGTGGATCAGACCTTTAAGTCGATAGTTCGGATGCAGTCCTCTAAGAAAATCACCTGCTTTGGTTTGGGCACGCGGGGAATATCATAGCTCACACACAAATCAAGTGACTTGTGTGGCGCATACCTATTCGGTGCTTCCTTATACCAACGTTTGTGTTTGAATAAAATAAACAATAACTTCATTTTAAGTTTTCAAGATCTAAATCAATAGTTTTTCACACTACTAATGCCAAATGTTCAACAAGGGTCTAATCAAAAATTGTGCTTTTTGTAAATATTTTTGTAGATGGACTTACTTTATTTAATGATTGCAAATGGAAACTTCGGTTACCGAATTGAATTTTGATGGTTGATACTTATCACAACTAAAACAGATGCCTGAGTTATGTAGCCCGACTCGAACTAAGTTATTAGTTTTGTTCTCCCATAGTCAAATTTAGTTGCTAAGTGAACTTAAATTTTATTTAGTTAGTGTTTTATAGTTGTTTAAAAATAATTTGTCTCATTTTCTGTTTTACCAATCAAATGCCATGTCGTTGCGAAATAAACACCTATAACCTATTTAGATATTACTTCTGAGTTACCAGTTAAATGTTTAATTTTACTAAGCTAGAAAATCTCACTACTTAGAGTCTTTATCTCAGTTGCTTAATTGATGATTGGTTGACGTAAACAAAAGATTGTATTTCCACAAAATTCAGTAATTTATTGAAGCGTAGTTCTTTTTTATGTATTTCGTCCTTTTTAAGACTATACCTCCGTTTGCATCATCCTGGGTTGCATACCTGATGTTCCGTTTTGTCTTCGGTTCACCAACAATGCGAAAAACTTAATAAGGTCATGTGGTATGTACTAGTGTTTCGTACTTGTTTAAAACTTAACACCAGTACACAATGAGTTTCATATCTCACTCTGGTTATTTTAGAAGAAAAGTAAATTATAGTTCAGAAGTGTAAACCACATGGTTGCAATCAAATAACATAGTGACTGCATCTGTACATAAAACTCCAAAGTTCCACGGGGCATTGTCGTTTGGAATCAAATGAGTGTCACCTCTTAGGATTATACATTTTAGATCAGGAAGACTACAAACAAATCACAAGACTGACAAATCTTGGGCTCGAATCTCGCGGGGCAGGATCGTAGATGCACACTGCTGAGGAGTCCCACAATGGGACGAAACGGCCATCCAGACTTTCTTTGGTGGTTTAGCTTCGATTGACTCATGATCTCACCCACTGAAATCTTATTTTGACTTGTTTTGATTTTTCAAAAATGTTAAAGCTCTTACTAATATGCATGTCTTTATATGTTTTATCTTATTGCGAAACGATAAAAGAGGTCCTCCTTACATTTATAGAACTCATTTCGTATAAATTACTTCCGAGTTTTGTCAAACACAATGTAGATTTGCATATCGATCGTTTTGAGTAGCTGAATAGCCTGGATCATAGGAGGTACTCATCTTTCAGTAACTCAGCTTAATTCTTATATATTACATGGAGATTGTCGTCTGTTTTTGATCTTGGCTCATAAAATATTTGGAGATTAACAAATCTCCTGTATCTGTCATCATGTTGATCAAAAAAGCTAAGTAAACATGAGTTCAAAAGATATATTATTATAAAGTGGTGTTTCTAATATTTCGATCCAAGGTGGGTGTTAATTTCTAACAGAGCTTCCGTATATTTCAGGTTAATTTATACGTATTTTTCATTTGAAATGACGATATTGTATCTCGTCTTAGAGTTCAAATAAGTGTTTGCTTTCACTAAAACCGTAACATTTTAATTTCATGTTATTCGTGTTTCAGGTCAAAATGGATTTGAAATTAAATGCATTTTCATGGAATCCGATGGAACCATTCATATTCACTGCTGCATCCGAAGACTATAATGTTTATACATTCGACAATCGTTTCTTCAAATTCCCTCGCAGAGTTCACCGTGGTCACGTAAATGCTGTACTTGATGTAGACTATTCACCAACTGGAAGAGAATTTGTAACTGGAAGCTACGACTCAACAGTAAGTATACATGTTTTCTGACTTTATTTCTCCAGATTCGACTTTGGAAGTGTGATTCTACAGAATCATTTGATGTTTATCACACTAGACGCATGAAGCGTGTGCTTGTTGTCAAGGTGACACTAGATGCGAAGTTTGTTCTGTCATCATCATCAGATCAAAACGTCCGACTATGGAAAGCTCACGCTAACGAAATTATTGGACCGGTATTTTTCTTCACCTTACTCATTACATTTTATTCTGCTTAGATTCAGCCAAGACAAAAAGCATCCCTACAGACATGTGAATCTTTACGAGAGAAATTCAAAGACCATCCAGAAGTCCGGAAAATTCTAAAACATCGTCATCTGCCAAAAACGATTCACGCCTCCAGTAAAGAACATGCAATAATCAGAGCGAAAGAAAGGCGCAAGGAAAGAAATACTCGTATATTTAATAAAAATGATCTTCCATTTATTCCTGATAAAGAGAAACACGTCGTTGCACAATATAAATAGTTTTGAGTCTTCGTTCTTTTTCCCTAAAAAATACAATTTTTTAAGGTGTGTATGAACTCTAGGTGACTTTTGTTTATGTAGCAAAACATTCACCTTTTACTCTTTGCGGAGAAGCATATTACACCCTTCAGAACACTTCACCCAACCCTGTCCTGGGCAGTCCGTTCCAGTTGTTGTTCATCATTTCGGTGCCTGCTTCCAATTCTCGATGCAGTGTGTTCTTCGGCCTTTCTTCTTTTCCTCTTCCCTTCAGAATTCCGAGTTAGCGCTTGCCTCGTGATGCAGATTGGTGATTTCCGCGATGTATGTCATACCCACTTCCAATGTCCTTTCCTAATTTCCTCTTCAGATGGAAGGTGGTTTGTCCTCTCCCACAATAGGCCGTTGCTGATAATATCCGGTTAACGAACATTGAAATCTTGCGTAGACAATTGTTTATAAATACTTGTGCATTTTTGATTACGGTTGTATTAGTTCTTCAAGTCCCAGCTCCATACAGTAGAACTGTCTTGATGTTCGCATTGAAGATTCTGACTTTGATATTGGCTTGCAAACATTTGCTTTGAGTTCCATATGTTCTTCAACTGTAGGAATGCTGTCCTTGTTTTGCCAATCCTTGCCTTTACATCTGCATCAGATCCTCCTTGTTCATCGATGATGCTTCCCAGATAAGTGGAAGACTCCACACCTTCCAGAGCTTTTCCATCAAGTGTGATTGGGTTGGTGTTCTCGGTGTTGTATTTGAGGATGTTGCTTTTCCTTTGTGTATGTCGAGGTCTACTGATATAAAGGCTGCTACTACACTAGTTGTCTTGACCTTCATTTGTTCGTGTGTATGGGATAGAAAGGCCAGGTGATCAGCGAAGTCCAAACCATCTAGTTAAACGCAAGCTGTCCATTGTATTCTGTGCTTCTCCTCTGATGTGGTCTTCATAATCCAGTCAACAACTAGAAGGAAGAGAAAGAGAGAGAATAGGCATTCTTGTCTGCCCCCTTGGCCCTCACTCGGAATGCGTTTTGTCAGCTGTCCCTCATTCACTGCTTGTCAGTGTAGTACGCCGTATGATGTTGACGATTTTTTCAGGTACACCATAGTGTACCTAAAGGAGGTTTCACAAGGTTCGCCTATCCACACTGCCGAATGCTTTCTCATAGTCAGGGAACTTGGTGTATAGTGACGATTGATTGTTCAACAATGATCCGAAGTGTCGAGATTTGGTCTGTTGTAAAATTTTCCTGCTTTTGGAACAAACATGACAGCGATTAGTTTCTTGGTGGTATGGCTCACTAGCCCATAATCTCCAAGTGACGTGACTGAAATGCGATGCTGTTACGTTATAGTTTACATGTTCCATAAAACCGTGGTCTTATGCTTAAGTCGTGTGTCTAAATTTGTATATTACTTTGGCGACCTTCAGTGAATGAGTCAGAATTGAGATTGTGACTCATAGCTTTTGCACGAATTCTAAAGTAGTGCTTGTGATCAACTACGTTGGGGATATTCGGTTCTTAATATAGTTCCATGCTGTTTGTTAGCCACGTAGCCCATTTGTCGTATCCACTTCTAATAGGTACTGTGTTATCGAAGCACAAAGACCGTTCTTTCCTAAATGCCTCATAATCTATTTAGATACCGGTTCTGTGATGATAAGCCCATGGGCTTTTTGTACCATCTCGGCACTTATATTTTCTTTATCAGCAGGTAATGCGTTGTAGTACCTTCATGAATGGAGATTATTCTGTTAATATTGTTTGTCTTAAAACTTTTACTTTCCTGAAGCAACAGTTATTAGGTTTGTTCCAAAGAATCTGACCCTGGCATTGCGTTCAGTAGATCGCTTTTCCTTTTTTGGCATTTAGCATGGTTATTTGCTCTCTAAAGTCCCATTTTGGTTAGTTTTATTCAAAATTAAAACTTCATCGAAGTCACTGAAAGCACTTTTAGAGGTTCTGGTCGCCTATGGTTTGCATCGTGACAAACACTGTGGGTGGTCTTGTGCAGCATGAGCTAATCTCAGTGGCTACTTACAACAGACTCAGTAGGTCTGACCAAAAGCATGTATGTTTCTGTGGTGTTTGAATGGACTAATGATTCCTTTGTACTTGATGTCTGCCTGGTTTCGAATTCCAAATTCGATACGTTCGTTCGTGCTCACTTAATTGTTCTTGGCCTAAATTGCGTTTATTCAAGTGCTTCTAATCATCTCATTGGCGTCGCGATGGAGCCTGTGATGGAAGTTGGACATGCATACAAGTTTTGAGTATTATAAGAAACGGTTCGAAATCTGGTTTATAAACAAGGAGGATGTCCATACAGTGTCTCGTTTCTTTATATTTATGGAAGGGGAAGCCTACAGTTTATTGAAGAATTTCGTATTTCCGGAAAAGCATATTTCACTTCATTATTCAACTCTCAATGACATTCTGTAACCTATGCGAATTTCGGATGCTGTAAAGGAGGGAACTGTGCTAAAATGATTCGTCGGCACAACAATCCCGCTACATTACCATGTCATTCCATTCCAATGCAGGTAATTCATTGAGGAGTTCCGAAGCAGATCTCGGAGATGAGCACAAATTTGGTAAATATTCGTTCTGTGGCACACTTCACTATTGTAATTCATCTGTATTCCGTAATACTAAATGTGGTAAAATTGGACACATACAGGCAATTTGTAATACAATCACTTCGCCAAATCGTTCACTTTGGATCTTGCTATTCTTCGCCTGTGGATGTATCCACTGGAGTTATACACGCAAGTGTAATTGTTTCATTTTTTTCTCCACGTTGACGGCGTTTGCTTCCTTTCAAAACGTTAAACTTTCTTACTGATAACCTGAAAGTAGTTTTTCTCTCGTCTCCTACCCAAGAAAGCTACATTTCAGCGGTAGTCCAAGAAGAAATAGGCAAATTGTACGAATTAACTGTGTCGTGGAACCTGCTAATGTATGTTGACAGAAGTGGATTTATTCACATTCGTCACTGCTTTAACCCGAATCCGGCCATACAAAAACACACTGAAACCTTTCAACACTGTTCGTGACGTGGGTTTGAGATATAGCATCAGTTTGAACTTTTTTGATTACATTGCATCTCAAATATCCAAAGCTGATAGCTCATTGGATTCGTAATGATAAACTTCAATAATATCGAATCGAGATTATTATTGAACAGAAAATTTATCATGCCCATTCTTGAATATGGTATTTCAGTTTACAGTAATTGCAGGCATAATGATCTGATTAGAATTGAAGATGTTCAAACGGGAGCTTGAGTGACATCGCGCTCGTCAGCCTGTTTCTGCAGTTCAAGTATAGAGTCCCAAACCTGATGATTTTATGAAACTCCCATCTCTATCTGCATTCAAATCTAGCGCGCTGCACATGACTGAGTTGGGACTCCTTGAACAATTCAGATGTTAGTGAAATTAGTTTATTTGGAAAAGCAAGATTCTTTAGCAAGTTGTACGCTTCACTGCCGATGAGATTCAGAAAATAAACTGTGAACTTATCATCAATATCTTTTCTTGTCATGCACCAGGTTCAGAACTACTCCGTATGTTCCTGGAATTCGTCGCCACTTAAATCAATATCCAACTGCCCAGGATTTAACTCCATCGCGACACCAGTATGACAAATAAATGAATTTAAATCAATGTACTAACTTAGAACTCAGTGTAATGTAAGGAAGGTAGAACTAGATGTGCTCAGATGGACGTACTATTTGTGATTCGTAATGAGAGCACAATCAAGTATATAGGAATCATCAGTCAGTACAAATCCCACATAGGCATGTGGTATGAGCTGTCAGACGATGTCGAATGTAAACAGTTCTCAACGGATAATCTATCAAAGACACTTTCTGGGGCGAAGAAGACAGGCTTTAATATGATAATTGAGTATGATATGACGAGTACAATATGGAGCTAGGATACCATATTTCAACATTATCTCTTCTCATATCACACAAAATACATTTACATACAAACATCCGTTACATAAGAAACAAATTATCCAGAATTGGATGAAATGTTTTTTAAGAGAAGAAGAATCCATACAACTGTGGATTGTCAGCATGTTTACGATTAGCCCAGCCTTACAACCTACTCTTCAAAATATTATGGGCACTAGTAAAGCTCCTCTATTTCTTCTCGTATAAGTGGATTCTAATGTATCTGCATCTCGTTCTACGAAAACATACAAAAAGGGGATCGGTGATTAATATCTGGTAAAACAACACTTCCCAGTATGAAAGATTTCAAGCGTCTATCCGCAACCGTAATCTCATATTGGTGTCGAAAGCCTCATCTACCAACTGACTTAAGGATTCTTTGCAACACAATAAAGTCTTTCAAAAACCCTGGAATGAATGATTGGGCGCAGAAAACGATAACTTACAAAAGGTATCGACTTTATAACATGTTACGTTAAAAACTTCGTTCGATTTCAACATGTTAGGACTAAAAGACATAACAGTTACACCAAGATGAAAGAGATTTAGCATAGCCTCAGTTGCAAGATCTTGGAATGTACAAAATTAGTGTGGTCTCAACAGAATAAATTAATTCATTTTATGTCACAGGCCAATGTTAACATTCAAAAGGATTAAGTCTAAGACCATTTTAAATATCGTTAAATGAGTACCAAGAGCTCATTCATTTCAAGGAAATCTCAAACGGGAGAAACTGGCACGCTTACAGTATAATTATAAGCACACTTAGAAAAAGGGCTTTTTCAGATGCCAGACCTTGTAAAAAAAGAAGGAAAAAGCCAGAAGATCAACTATAATTGGCACACCACTTCTTGTTAATAGATGCAGAATATTTTCCTCCATACAAGATATAATAATCAAAAAAAAGTAACAACAATCATACTGTTCTCTCCTAGAAGAGAAAGAATAACCGGTTGGTTACACATGTTTTAGTGTCAACGCTGGAAATCTCGCATAATGATAGTGGTAGTTGAACATATTCGAAGGTAGAGGTACAATACAGCAACGC